ACTGGAACACAGATGAAGGGTTTATGACTTGCACCAAGTAACTCCGTTGCCTGGAGGGGAAACTTCGAGTGGCTCCCAGGTCTCCTGAGCCCTGCTCATCCCCTGGCTGTGGGAAATTGGATGCCCCAGGGCTCTAGGATCTCCACTCTTAAATGGGAAAAGCTGCTACCTGGGCTTTTGTCCTATGGTCCAAAGTGGGTTTCTACGGCATAGAAGATGGACTACACACCAGAAGGTCCCCAAAGATGCATTCTCTGCCTGGGGTGCTCCTCTCACAGCCCCTCCTACCTAGCAAGCCACCAAGTCCATGGGTAAAATTCCCTAGAGATGTTCAGAGAGAAGAAGGGGAAGAAGAAGAAGGAGGAGGGGGTGGGGGGAAAGGAAGGTTGTCAGGACCACAGGCTGTGTTTGAGAGTAAAGTTGGACAACTTTTCTTGACTCTAGTTTTTGGAGGGGAAGAGAAATGATTGAAATGAGTCTGTTCCTCGTGCTCTCCAATGCCTTCCTCCTGACACCTTCTCTCCCTCCAGCTCTCTTAGGAGGAGTTGCCAGGGACTTGTAGGATGGCTTCTGCAGAAGGTCTCCATTCAAGACCCTTAGAGCTCAGCCCAGAAAAGATGGGGCCTTAGAGAGGGGAAGATCCTTTGCTCAGGAATACCAAAGGCAGAACCAGACCAGAATCCAGCTTCCCCCACCCCTCCCAGCCCACCCTGCACTCCCAGATCCTAGCCTGGGGCACTTAGCACTGGTCCGTCCTGCACTGAGGAGAGCCCCAGATGTGTGCCAGAGTTGTGTGGAAGGAAAATGGGGATTGCTTTCATTGTTTTCTTTGTGGAGTCCTATCCCCACTCCCGTGAAGATGGTCATTCCTGAATGAAGCTCAGCTTCATCTACAACTCTTTGCCACTGACTAGGGGGACAGAATGGGCTCTGGGAGAGATTTCAGGGGTATCCCCAGCATGCCTCCTTTGATTCATAATTCATGATACCACTACTGAGGACTGGCTGTGTGCCTTATCCTCAGTGAATCCTTATGTGTTAGATGCTCTTACAAGGGCCATTATTCAGCTGAGGAAACTTAGGCACAGAGAGTGAAATGACTTATCCAAGATGACACAGCCACTATGTGCTGAATCCAGAATCAAAGCACCACCTTCCACATTTCAGAGCTTCCCCATGTTTCCTGAGGAAGCAGACTCTTAAATTAGTAATCCCCGCATTCAAATTCACTTTATAGAAAGTGTGGGCTTAGGAAAGCAGAAGAAAGAAGAAAAAAAGTCTACCCCACACCTTTTCTGGGGTGAAGTGGGTTGAGCCAGGAGGATAGAGCTGCTAGTACCCTGACTGATTTTAACTTGTGTTTCACTTGCCTCTCTAGAGATCTGTGAGCAAATACAATCTTGAGGTTTGATGAAGAATAATGGGGGTGGGGGAAGGAGTGGGAAGGGACTGTTCCCTGGACTAAGAAACTGCTAAAACCTTTAAATATCTCTTGAACTTTTTTTTTTTTCTCTTTTGGCTCCCTGCAATGTTTTGATGTTGAGATTCGGTTGCCACAGTGGGCTGTTTTTAGCTGCCTAGTTCCATCCCCTCCCCTTTTAACTTTTTTCCCTTCCTTTTGCACATGCCCCAACATGAAGTTTCCAATTCTTATCTCACTCAGCAAAACATACTGGGGCTGGTCTGAATGTAGATTCCCCAGGCAGTTCTCCAGCGTAAAACCTCAGCAATATTCAAGTCTCTGCTTAACCCTCTTTCACTGAGGATTAACCCCTGAAATAACCCTACCCAGGGCTTGCTTCTCAGGGAGGGGAGAGGCATTCTTTTCCTTTGTGTAGAGAAGCAGTTTGGTCTGGGAAGCTTTTCTTGCCCCTCCTCTAGATGATACCGAGTGTGCAGGCTGGACAACGGTGGGTCCAAAGTCAGGGTAAAATGAGGACGCACAGAACTCATACTGATCACGCCTCGGGGGCACACACCTTGGGGCTCCCTTCCCCTGCTCTTTCCCAGTCTCTCTTCGATTAGGCAGATTTCACGGCTCTCCAGGGGGCTGGAGGCAGGGAGGCAGGCAGCGGCCGTTTTTGTTTTCCTTGGTTAGGAGTCTCATTCACAAGGGGGTGGACTGACTTCTCTGTCAAGATTCTTATCGCTTTTGGAGTTTCAGTGGGAGAGCGAGGCTCAGACTTCTGCGAACAGCTGACAGCATTTCTATCCAGGTGTGACTTGGGGATTCAAAACCAAGAATTATTAGAATGAAGCAGATTTAATAAGAGGGACGGGAGGCACCACGGTAATACCAGCGGTTGGGAACTTCTCTGTCTCAATTACCCTTCTCGTGCATTGTTTTGTGGAGGCTGGTCTAGCTGTTTGTTTACCTACACCCGAAGCCGAATTTCCCCTTAACGACAGGACCAAAACCTCCACAAATCTGGCTTGGGTGTATTAAAGGAATCCTAGTTTAAAATGTAAACTGGTTAAAGATTCCTGTAGGCATTTCACAAAGGAAAAAAAGCTGGGGGGGGAGTGGGGGTAGCTTTCAAGTGTTCTCCCCCATTTCCTTGTTTCACTTTATAATGGTGCAATTTATTCGAGGGCAGCGGACAAGTAGATAGGAAAGATATGTAGATAACCTCAAATAACTTTCATGTAAATTTACAAACGCCTTTCCTTTTGCTCTCGCGGTGTTCTAGGGGTTGTGCCGACACGCCCCGGGGTCTACCTGCCAGCCCGGGGTTTACCTGCAGGTGCGTGGTTAGGAGGGCGGAGTGTAGGAGCGTGGGGTGAGGCCAGGAGGCCCGTTACCAGGGTGAAAAGTAAAGCAAAAACAACGGCCCCACTCTGGCCGTGTGACTTCGCTGGAAACCCGGTGAGGTCCCGGGCAACATCCCGGGATCCTGCGTGGAACCTCTGGGCTCCCGGACGGGCCGGGGGCGGGGGGACTTCCAAGGCGGCTCTCCGCGTTGTCCTGGGCCCCGAAGCTTGGGGGGTGTCCCGGTGAGGCTCGGATTCGGGGGAGAGGAACCTGGGTGCGGGGGATTCAGTTTTACCTGTAACTCTGAGGGTATCTATGCCAGGCTGCTGGGCAATCGGAGAGGCTGGGGAGAGGGACAGATTCCCCGAGGGTGCGGGACTGTATGTGTGTGTAAGGCAGAGAGAGGCAGAGACAGAGACAGACAGCCCCCCTGCTTCACGACTGTTAACACCCGAGGGCTGCAGGTGGGGCGGGGCTGCGGGAGAGATCTGGGCTCTGAGAGCCTTCTAGTTCCTACCCCAAATTACCAAACTATGGCCTTGGGCCGTCTCCCTCCCTAAAGGCAGCTGAAAGCAGGTGCCCCTACACCCCACGGGCGCGCACGGGTCTCCCTCCCGGGCGGTAACGAAACATGGCTGGCCACACTCGCGTTCATCTATATTAGTCCGTGAGCAGTTGACAAGGTCTCTGGTTCTGCCGGTCTCGAAGCCTAGACAGCTGAGGTCGGGGAATCGGAACTGGGAAATCGATTTTAAGGTTCAAACCCAGTTCCGCTGAAGGCTCGGCTAGAATCTGGGCCACAAGACCCCGCCCTTCCCGCCACCGGCTTTAGGGCGAAAAGGATTTCTGCTGCGGGGCCTTATTTCCGCTGCAGTTAGTGCGTCCCCAGTCCAGTCCGTCCGGTCCCAACCCAATCCTCTCTGGGCGCGGAAAAACACAGGAAAGCCGAAGATGGGTTTTCCCTCAACATTGCCAGAGAGCGAGGCGACCCCCGCCCCGCCCCGCCCGCGGACACTAAAGCACCTTCTCTTTATTCCTCTTCCTGGCCTCTAGGCTTCAGCCTTACTCTTAGCCCCTCTCTGAGTTGCCTCTGATTTTTCCAGGTCGCTAATCTTTTCACGGGCTTGTTCGTTTCGCTGTCAATTTCAAACGCTTTGGGGTTGTTACAAAAAATCCTAACCCCATAGGGTCCTACCACTAGGCCTGGCCTCGGAGTCGGGTTCCCAACCTGCCGGGAGACGGTTCCGCGTGTGCGCCCCTGTGGGGTGTGCCGGGGCTGCGGGCGTGGGCGCACAGAGCCCGCGGAGCTCTCCGCGCTTGAGTTAAATCACAGACTTCTCACGGTCCCCGCCACAGAGGTCACCCCCGGCGGGTAACGGTGTGGGTTCACCGTAGGGGTGCCTTTGAGCACTTCTCCCACACTGGGGAATAATCCTTCCGTTCCTATCCCGTCCCCTACTTGAGAAGGAGGCTTTTGACTGCGAAGGGAGTATTTTCACGAAGCGCCAGAAAATGACCACGCATTTTAGAGAAAGGTCGCTGCTCGCTTCCAGCCTCACCTAGTCTGGGCAGCGGCCAGGACCCGCCTTTCCAAACTCCCCCCTCCGCAACTTAGCGGAGGGAGAGATGCCAGCGCGGTGGAGTCATGCCGCTGGCTTGGGCACCATTGGCTCATGCCTGGAACACGCAGCGGCGAGTACGCACATCTGGCGGCCAGCCCGGGCGGCTCCGGTCCTGATATGGAGAGAGAGGGCGGGCGGGTGCGTGTGTCCCGGCGTGCGAGGCCGGGAGAACGCTCCCCGGCCGGCTCCTCCCCGAGCTTGCATCACCGGTCCCTCTTTTCCCCTCCTCCTCTTTGGCCCCTCCTCTCCGCCCCCCACCCCACCCCGGCTTTCGCCCAGCCTAGTTCGGCTGGTTCTCGGGGGAAGCTATTAATAGCATTACGTCAGCCTGGGACTGGTAACCCGGAGAAGGGCGCGCCGCCAGCCCGAGGGCTATAAAAGGGGTGATGCAACGCGCTCCCAGCCACAGGCGCACGCAGCGAGGCGCACACTGCACAGCGCTCTCCCCGCGCCGCCGCTCCAGCGGACCCGCCAGCCCGCGCGCCGGCTGTGCGCCCTCTGTGCTCGCCCGCCGGCCCCACAAACAGCCCGACCCCACCCCGACCCCGCCCGCCCTCCGGACCCTGGGCGCCCCGAGTGGAGCCAGGAGGTGAGCGTTGGAAGCCGAGTGAGCGCGGCAAGGGTGGCTCGCTTTCATTCTCTTTGCGCCCCTCTGGTAACCAGTCGCCGGCCCCTGCGCCCACCCCCGACACTTGCCCCCCGCCTCTGGCTTCGAAAGAACTCTGGCTGAACTTCTCCCAGCCACCACTGCTTCTCGGCGCTTTAGAAACTTTATCGCAAAGAACTTTCTCTTTTGACCTGGGGCGCGAAATGCTCCTGGCAACCGAGAGGTCGGGCTCCCGCTCCTCCACTGGCGTCGGAGCACAGCTCCTCTCCGCCCTTGCGTTTACTTACCCCCTGGGAGCGGTCGACGGCTGGTGGGTGCTCAGGGTGTCCGAGCCTATCGGGCTCGCCGACCGGCTCCATTCCTTGCTCTGTGCGCGGGCACTGCCACTCGCGAGCCCAGCCTTCCCGAGAGGCGCGGAGGCCGGTGCTCGCGGAAGGGCTGCCCCAGGGGCGGAACGGAATGAATGGGGAAGGAGCGGGCGAGCCGGGGTCGCGCGCGCGGCCGCTGGGGGTCGCCCTGCCCGCCCCGGAGCGCCGGGAGGCAGGACAGCGCCGGTAGCCCGGAGCGAAAGTTAGTTGGGTAAGTTTACAGAGGTGGCGCGCGCTCATGTGGCTGCCCTAGGGCAGAAGGCAGAGAGGCTCCCGGCACAGATGCCCAGTGTCAGGGCCGGAGACTTACTGTCCCAAGTTTCTCACACGCTTTTCTCTAGTACCTGTGACTCAAGCTCTGGCTCTTCCTCTGGCGTTTCGCGGATTTCTCTGCTTTCCATCGGGGAGACCCACCGTGGGGGGAAGCGACAGTGCGAAGCCAGTTCAGGTAATTGAGAGACTGGCTCTGTGGTCTAGGGGGCAAGACCCTGAGAGCTTACACTGCACTTGATGTCCTGGGCCTCACTCAATATCCCCAGCTGGGAAATGTGGGCATATAGACACTCCTGGCCCCTCTGCCTGTTTGCGGGCACGAGGTGGTGGTTGGACTGGACAACCATTACGGTCCTGTCTGGACGAAGGTTTTCAGATTCTAGGGGGGTGTAATTGAAAGACAAGGGACCGATGAGGGGACTTGAGTGACTTGAATGAGGGGGCTTGGACGTCACTGGCCGGCCTCCGAGGCAGTGGGGGAAAAGGGACTTCTTTGTGGGGCATCTCTTCCCTTCCCCACGTTCTTTCCACTGGAATGGTTCTCCTTCTCTGCTCCCCCCCACCCTCTTTTCATCTGATCGAATCACTTCCTTTCCTTCTGTTTTCTTTTCCCTAATTTCATTTCCAAATCGCACATGCTTTCTTACAAATAAAGGAGCTGCTAATCCCTTGATGGAGGCAGAAAAAAAAAATTGGGTGCTAGAAAATCTGGGTGCTCTCTTAATGCACTTGTTTCAGTGTGGGTGACGGTCACATGTTTGGGGCCTCTGTCTCTTAACTTTAAATGAAGGAGAAATTGGTATAACTGTCCCCCTGTTTTGCATGTAGCATTTGTTGTAGAATAATGCTACTGCTTTGAGGATATCCTGGATGAAGACTGGGGTGGGGGTGGGTTTTAGTGTTATTATTGTCTGGGTGGTTTCAGAGGTAACACCGCAGGCAGCACCCGAGGCACACAGTGTGACTAATATACAGTACCCAGCACCTGTGGCAGTTATTGGAGCCTCCAGATCCTTCCTATCTTAACCCCACCATTCTCTCTCCCCCTCTTGGTCTTTTCTCCCCATTGTCCCCTTTCTTCTATACTCCCTCCCTGTCTTAGTCCTATCAAAGCCTCCTCTGTGGTGGGTACAGGTTCCTAGGACTATTGACCCTTCATCTACCTGGCCAATGGCTCTGTTCTCCATTTGCCTCGTTGGTTGATCCTCGCGGTGTTGAATCTCTGTTGGTGATGAAGCAAAATGAGCAGCAGGTGGATGGTCAACAGCTTGGCCTGGGCTGGGCCACTCGCCAGCTTTATGGCCTTGGGCAAGTCACTTTACCTTCCTGGACCCCATTTTACTCAATTACAAAATGAAGATCTGACCTGGACGACTCTAATATTGGGTGTTCTATCCCATTGGATAGAGCTCATGATTTCTTCCCTTTTCAAATGGGCTGGGCATGGAACAGGGTCAGTGGTTCCAAGTGTTACTCGGCCTGGGGAGGAGGAAGTACACAGCCAGGACACGACAGGAACCGGAAACGGTTTCATGTGTGAGACCTGGTCATTTCTCAAGTACTTAAGACCAGTGGGGACAAGCTGGAGCCAGCAAATAGTGGGGTGGAATTGATCTGGTGCACCAAGAGCCCAGAGGTCAAGGTGCGAAAGAAGCTGTCTGTGACTGACCTGAATTTCTTGAGGGTTCCGGTTAATTCATGATTAGTGGGGCTCAACTTCATTGACAGCAACATTATGAGTCCCCCCTGAAATGGGGAAAGTGGAATCACAGTAATAATGGCTACCCAGGATGTGTGTAAATCCACCTTCACATATCTCATATGATCTTCCTGACAGCCCTGGGAGGGAACTGGGGCAGGCGGTATTGGTCTCATTTTACACATGAGGTGACTGAGGTCCAGAAAGCATGCCAGCGGGTGCTCAGCGTGTGAGTGGTAGTGAAAGGCCTGCAAGCGTCATCTCTGTCCTGATGTCTAGCCTTACACGTACAACTGCAGTGTCTATATACCCACTTCCAGTGGGCTAGGAGAAAGACCAAGACAGGAAGTTAGTGAAAGAACTGGCTACCTACTGTAAGATGTTTTATGAGCAGTGCTTAGTGGAAAGAGATGAAAATTAAAAGTGAAAACTCAAGGTAGTAGCAGCTACTAGGAAATAAAATCTGGGAGCTGAATTTCCAGTTAAAGAAATATATGAGTAAAGTTTCACTTTCTTGAAAATGATGAAACTACCGATTATATGACACGATTTCTGATTAGAGATAATGAGAAGCAAAATGCAGGTTCTTTGTAATAAGTCTAGACAATTTTAAGGTCAGTACAGAAAGTCAGCTCAGAAAATCCTCTAAAATTTTTTCTTCAAAGGGGGATGTTCAAGGGTCTCAACTTTCTTAAAAAATGAAGGTTTAACTTCATTTTTCTTATAGGGGCACAGCCTGAGTCTAGGCTGATCACATTTTAAGAGAATGAGGCAACAAATAACTGGAAAGTATCTCAAGAAACTGAACTTCAGCTGAGTGCAGGAAAAACCCAAATCGTTACAGTTACAACTGCTTTACTTTCTGAAAGGCTTTTAAACATTTTTACAACCTGTTTCCATCCTCAAGTAAGCCCACCCAATGCTTTTCATAAAAACATTCCATACCACTGGCATTCTTCAGTTTCTTTCATCAGGACTGCTGACTTTACACTAAGAAGGGGGGAAAAAAAACCCACACAGCAGACCCCAAGCCCTGAAAGCTCATTAATAAACTTGGGAGGTGAAATGGAACTACGCTCAACTGTGGTGGAATTCAAACTGCCTGTGCAGAAGGGAGCCATGCCGTCCTTCAGACAAAGGCCAGCCCAGTGGTAGCTCTGAAATCCATCCCTGAACTATTGCGTTTTTAATAACGTTGGAAAGGGAGGGAAAACACAACTGCATGGGAGAATCTTAAGCCTCTGGCTTTGGAGAGCTGGTTTCTCAGAGTTTATCGGAAAAGTCTCCTCCCCGCATCCTAAGATTACAGGATTCAACTGATAGAAGAATATCAGTTCTGACTCATGACATAGGGCTTTGGGAAGAGAATCACATACGTTTCCTGGGTTTCTCTGAAGAGTCAACAATGGTGGTGTTCATTGGCCTGGAATTCTTGCCACCATCAGTGTATCTTGGATCTTAAGGGGGATGTAGAATTCAGGGTGTTGTATTCAGAAGTATCTGAGATCAAAGACAGTGACCAACCACCCACCCACCTGGACCCCACAGAGCATCTGTTGGAGAGCCAGCCCTGGGCTGGACAGATCTCTGGAAGGCCCAATAATAACGTATTTCCTAGTTGCATTATATTTTTCAGGGCATATTCAGGTATTATTTCTTCAATGCCTTGCACAACTCTGGGAAAATAGGGTGATTGTTTTTAGACTTCTTTTACAGACGAGAGAGAAGGCTCCGGGAGGTAAGATGATGACGCATAAGGAAGTGAGCCTCAAATCTTGATGTTCTGACCCCAGACTGGGAATTCCTGAATGCAGGCAGCAATCTGAGTGTGCACCCAGGCAGAGAAAGCTCAGGAATTCAATACAGAATTCACATTTTCCCCATGGCTCTTTGCTTAGTCTCCCTTCCATCACTTCAGTTCCAGGACCCTCACCCATCCCCATGCCTACTCCCAACCCTCAAGAAAAGTTTGCTCTGGCTTTTTGTTTGCTTTTACAATTCAGAATAATATTCTATGTTCTGTAAATTAAGGGCATGAGTTCTGGAGTCAAACTTAATTCCAAATCCTGACGCTGCCTCATACTATATGACTTTGGGCAAATTATTTAGCTTGTCTAAATTTTAGTTACTTCATCCATAAAATGGGACTAGGACCTAACTGGGTTCTCATGAAGATTAAGTGAGATAAGGCACATAAGGTTTCTGGAATGAAGGAGGCACTTGTGAAATGTTAGCGACTTGCCAAAGGGCTTCTTTTCTGTCTGGATTTAGCTAATGACCTCAGGTCCCCCGATTGAGACGGATGCTCCAAGGGGACCGCCTGCCCTGAGAATCCCCACATTCATCGCCCCTGGAGAACTGAAAGCAGGGATGAGGGGGGATGGCCACTGCTGGAGGGAGTATACAGCAGGAAGAGATTTATGGAGGGCTATTCCAAACTGGGACCATGGAACCATTACTATTTCTGCCCTTTCTTGCTTGCTTTTTTTTTTGTCCCTTTGTCTTCCCTGGGCTGTAGAAGGATAGGGGGTAGATGGGACCTCAGAGGCCATTTGATTTAACCGCCCCTTCCTCATTTCATGTATTCAGTTGGATAGTCTCCAGCAGTCAGCAGGCATTGGGAGAAGCCGGTGCCAGGGGCTGGGTCAGGCTCTGGAAAGAGCAACAGTGGAGACTCCATCCCGGTGCTGTAGGAGTTCCCAGACATTTGTCACATAAAGGCTGAGACTCAGAGAGCTCGGGTCACACCACTCCTTAGTGCCAGAGCCAGTCCCAGGCCCCCTCTGAGCCCAGCCCAAGCCCTTCCAAACATTATAGGGCTGAACAACACTCCCCAAAAGAGGTCCAAATTCTGAGCTCCTCACTTTTCTTTACTCTGAGGTCTTTTGCTTCACCAACCTTTACCTTAAGAAAGGGCTACTCTAGTCCCTTGTGACCTGAATTCCCACACCCCAGCCAAACTGGGGCGAAGAAATGCACCTGCTACAGTTACTGTCCTCATTCTCAAAGACTTGGATCCAACTTCTCAAGGGGGAAGCTTCAGAGATATATTTGCTAAATTCAAAGGTCCCCCACTCCTTGCTTTTACTTCCACTCACTGATAGATTTAACTTGATTTCAGATACCTTCCAAGTTTTTCTTTCTTTTTTTTTTGAAAAGGAGACTGCAAATGGGGTTACATAATAGTCTCACTGATTTTTGTTTTTAACGCTCTTCCTCTTTCAGGACTGTTTGAGGCTACATTTGCATATATGCACACCAGCCAATACTAATAGCTCTTGTGAATTCAGAATAGCCTGAAATACCACCCCTTATAAACTTCAACTAGGCATTTTATCCACATCACTGAGCTGTGTATTTTAAGAACCTGTTTTACTCAAGATGAGGATGGTGTGAAAGAGGGCTAATGGGACCTTCTTCTGGGGGTGGGGCTCAGGTATTGGAGGTCGCAGGTGCGGGGGGGTCCTTGATCCCATGCCCCCAAATCCCTGAAGTAGTTTGGGTTTTGATGTGTCTTTCAGCAAAATGATGCTTCAACACCCAGGCCAGGTCTCTGCCTCGGAAGTCAGTGCCTCTGCCATCGTCCCCTGCCTGTCCCCTCCTGGGTCACTGGTGTTTGAGGATTTTGCTAACCTGACACCCTTTGTCAAGGAAGAGCTGAGGTTCGCCATCCAGAGCAAGCACCTCTGCCACCGGATGTCCTCGGCGCTGGAGTCAGTCACTGTCAGCAGCAGACCCCTCGAGATGTCAGTCACCAAAGCCGAGGTAGGTTCTCCCAGGGGTGCCCTTTCTTTCTGCACTTACTTATTGCACACCTACCATGCGCCAGCATGCTCTAGGCAGGGGGCTTCGGCCATGAATAAAACAAAATCACTGCCCTCACAGGGAGCTTACCTTCCACTGGGAGGAGACAGACAACACACAAGATAAGTAAATCCATAAAAGACAGACAGGCAAAGGAGAAAAATAAAACAGCAAAGGGGGACAGGGGAGCGGGGTAGGAGTGGGGTTGCTGTTTTAAACCAGGAGTTCAGGGGAGGCTTCACTGATAGAATGGCCTTTGAGCAGAGACTTGAAGGAGGAGCGGATAAGGGCCATATGGGTATCTGGCAAAAGATCAAGAATAAGGGCACTGAGGGCACAGGACCAGTAGCAAGGAGGGCCAAGTGGCTGGGGTCACGTGTGGGGTGGGGAGTGAGGCAGGCACTGAGCTCACGGGTGGAGGCCAGATCACGTTGGGTGTTGTAGGCTATTGTAAAGACACGCCGTGTACTCAGAGTGAGGTGGCGAGCCCCTGGGAGGGTTTCTGAGCAGAGGAGCGACATGGTCTAACCTGATATTCCTAAATGATTACCCTGGCTGTCGAGTCGAGAATGGGCAGTATGAGCGAGGGCAGAAGCAGGGTACCGACACGAGAGGGTCTGCATCGGGTTGAGGGCCGTGAGGTGCCGAGAAGTTGTCAGCTTCTGGATCTGTCTTGATGGTACAGCTGATTTCCCGGAGTCGTACATCGGGTATGACTCCGAACAGGAGTCAATGGTGACTCCAGAATTTCTGGCCTGGCCAGCAGTAAAGATGGAGAGCCTATTTGCTGCTGAGGTTGGGACTGCAGGACATTGGGTGGGACAAGAGCAGGCGTCCATCCTGTTCAATGCCCCAGTGGAGGTGTGAAGGAGGCAGTTGGATACGTGGGTATGGAGCTGAGAGGAGAGCCGGGGCCAGAGATACAGAGTTGGAAGCCATCAGCGTATGGATGGTATTGAAAGCCATGAGTCTGTCTGTATGAGATCACCTTCTGTGTCCAGTTGTTCTGAAGAAGCAGAGAGTGTGGTGATTGTTTTCATCACTACGAGAACCCAGGTGGCCAGGCTGTGGAGCAAGGACCAGTCGGCCATGCTCACAGCCTCGGTACAGGTTCTGCTCCAAGTTCACTTCTGTCTCTGACGCTTGTGCTGTTCTCCACTCAGCAGCCTTTTATAAGACACCTGGAGTAACAGGCATGGTGAGAAGTTTGGGAGGTGCTTGCTGGCAATGCTGTGGTGGTTCGAGAACTTCAGAGCTGAGGTCTCAGCTGTTTTGTCGGCCTCCCCCTCATGGATGAAAGATGGGAGTGTTTCAAGCTCACTTAACTGGCATGGTCACTGCCTTTAGGCAAGAGGTAGTGGACCTGGCCAGAAAAGAACTGAGTTTTGAAGGAAGTTGGTTAGGAACCTTTATGATTCTATGAAAGGGGGGCGGGTAAATAATGACTCCTGTATAGAACTGATCTAAGGGTTAAATGAGATGGCATTTGTTAAGGGTCTAGCAGAGGGCCTGGCTGAGTGTTAGCATTCAGTGAATGGTAGGCAGGACTACTATATGATGCTATATCCTTAAGGCAGCATTAGAGGCATTGGCTGTACCCCCAGTTAACCTCAGGGCAAGTCACTGGTGCCCAGTCCAATACTGGAAAGTGCAGGGTGGGAACATGGGACACTCAAGGAAAAAATTAAAAAATTTTTTTCTAATTAAATCTTGAAATTACAGGATGCAGTGGAAGTAGTGGGGTGCCATGGAAGGAAGGAAAACATTTTGGAGGGATATTTGGAGGGTTCTCCAGAGCAAGAAGCAGGCAGCCAGCTTCACGGTAGCAGTCTTAAAGTCATCCAACTCATGTACTGTGATTTTTTTGTTCATCAAGTGACCTTCTGATCTTAGGTCAGTTTAACAAGTAGATTTTTCTACTGGGAAGAGAATGCACCAAATGACCTAGCTGAATGTTCTGGTCTCCTTGGTGGCTGTAATTCTCAACTTAAGGCACTGAGCCTGTGAAACCCACAGGCATCCTGTGTATCTGGGCAGCGTAAGCCTCCTCCCCAGATCCCAGGCACCTCTGGGAATGCAGCACGGTGGAATGAGGCAGCTGTGGCCAAGAGAGGACACAGGACCGGGAGCCACAGGCCTGGGTTTTACATCCAGTGTTGTAGCCTACTGGTCTGCTGACCATGAGCTGGTGATTCCTGGGCCTCCCTTGGCACATTACTTTTGGCCACTCTGTGCCTCATTTGCACATCAATAAAGTGAGGGGATGGATCTAAATGGCCTTTAGAAAGGCTTTTCCATGTCTGACAGTTTGTGACTCTGAGATTTGCTCTACTTTCAAGTACTTCCTTTTATGAGAATACTTTGAATCCTCCCCCCCGTCCAAAAGTATCTGTAGAGTTAGTTGCAAAGGAAATTCTAGACTTGCTGAATTCTTAATGAAGACATTGATGATGAGGTTAATGATGATAATAACTAAAGCTTCCATAGCACCTAAACCCTGTGCAGAGGGCTTTACATAGATTAACTAATTTGACCCTCATCACAACCCTATTGGGTAGGTAAGATTATTGATCCCATTTTACAAATGAGGAAACTGAGGCTCAAAAGAGCATAGTAACTTGCACAAGGTCTCACAGCTAATAGGCAGTGAAGCTGAGATTCAAAGGTAGTTTAGTCTAAACCCAATGTCCGCCTATGTGGTTCTAGGATCCAAGACATAAAAGGTAGAAACGCCTCTCATCGTATTTCCCCCTTGGGCTTTGTTTCCCTATGTTGTAAAGCCTCCATCTCAGCCCAACCTTAAGTCAGTGTCATCTAATCCAAAGTCAGAGGTGAGGTGATCGTAGCGTCCCAGGATCTCTTTGATTTGCGGTGAGGCTCCCATGGCCTTTCCTGCTGTCTGGAGCAGTGACAAGTGACATGACAAAGTTCTGACATTAGTGGCCTAAACCATCACCCACTCTGCTCACTGTGAGTGCTTCACTCCCGCTGGACTCTGGTCTCTGAGCCAAGTCCAGCAGCCAGACTTTGCTGGCTCCCCATCAGTCCTTAGGCAAAGTCAGGATCAGAGTGAACTTCACAGAGGACCAGATGGTAAAGCAGGACAGGGTTTTGTTCTCTGAGGATCGCAGGGCTGGCTCAGGGTGGGGCACAGAGGAAGAGATCAATATCAACTTGTTGGATGAATCAATGGATGGTTCTAGTTCTCCACCCACAGGTGGCACCAAGCCATGGGCTGATAACGCCACTTTGGTTGGGGAATAGGCTTGGGTTCCTCTTCTCCAGGAGCTGCACGGGCTTCTCCTGAATTTAGGAAGGAGGTGCTATGATGATGTTCCAGGTGAAGATAGAGATGAATCGAAGAAGAGGCAGGGGGAATGGGTGGCAAGGTGATATTCCTGAGGTCATTCCTGGTTCTAGGGGAAAGGACATATTTACTGAACAAAATCTGTTTCTTGCTCTAGTTGATAACCAATAGTTATCACTTTGAATATCAAACTCCTATTTTAAAATCCAAATGTTTTTTAAAAGTAAAATAAATTTAATTTACTAATATTGCCAATATAACTTTAACTGTTCCTTGATTTTTTCATTATTCATTCTTGAGTGTGTGTGTGTGTGTGTGTGTGTGTGTGTGTGTGTGTAGAGGTTGCATGCAAAAGTCTAGGGCTTTACTTCTCCCAAATTCTTTAGGGCTGCCCCGGTTTGTCAGTTTTAGCTGGAAATAAAAGGCAGTGTATTTGAGGTGGATTGAATTTCTAGCCTCCCATTAAGCTTGTGCCTCTTGAATTTTACAGGTAGCCCCTGAAGAAGATGAAAGGAAAAAGAGGCGACGGGAAAGAAATAAGATTGCAGCTGCCAAGTGCCGAAACAAGAAGAAGGAGAAGACAGAGTGCCTGCAGAAGGTGAGTGCCTGTGTGCCTTGCTCCTTCCTCTTGCTCACGCCTGTCCGCCGCCAACCTCATGTCACGTGAGGAAGGGGAGTTTGAAAGCCCCCGCCCAGAAGTGCTTTCCCAGGAAGGGCATTGTAGCTGGTAGCAGAAATGCCAGTTGCAGAACGACGAAGTAGCAAAGCTGTTAGGACAATGAATGTGACTTTGGGTGTGTAAGAAGCAGGTGTGTGAATTAAAAACCACAAGATCATCTGGTGCCCATATTCCCCCTCGGCCGGTCCATACACGTCCAGAAGCCTCTGGGTACGGGATACGTCAGTCCAGTGAAAGAGGCTTCAGTCGCCCATTTTCCTCAGGAAAGAAAGCTGCCACCTCTCATCTGGCTCACTGTGAAAAGCCTTTAATTAATCTCTTCAAACAAGCTATTTCCTTAATCTACAGGCAGAGGTTACACTTTCTTTGCTTTTCTCTCTCGTTCTTAACTCTGCAGCCCTTCTCTTTGGTGCATCCAATAGTCTGTGCTCCCAGTTGCATTCAGCCGGCTCCCCTTCCAGAAGGGAGAAGCGCCAGTGGCAACGGCATCTGCGGGCAGCTGGAGCAGGCCGTGATGCAGTCTTTCCAGTGGCTGTGTCCCCTCTCCCAAGTGTAGACAGGCCAGGGCAGAGTCTTCACCCAGGTTCCACAGGTCCCCAAGGGTTCTGTCAATTGCTTCAGGGGGTCAGTGAAAATTAAGACATTTTGTTTATTGCTATGTACATTCTTTCTGGGGAGATGAGCTTCTCAGTGAAATCAGTGACTCACAGAAGACTAAGCACCATGAGTCTGGATTGCCTTCCAGTCCCCAAGGCCCTTTCAGGTCCAGAAGACCTGCCCATGGGCTGTTGTACTTGTGTAAAGGAGATCTCTTTGCCATTGCTTCTATTGCTGTTTCGTTACTATTAGGGTCACAACCTGCCTCAACCTTGAGTGGAAACTCAAGGCCTCTCTGAAGGAGCCTCCAAGTTCAAAGGCTTCTCCAGGCTCTGGATTCTCCCAAACCTAATGCTGCTGTCCCGGCTTTGTGGGGCACTGTAGCAGGGAGCCAGCGGCCATTTCCAGCTTGATGAGCCCCGACGTGTCCCAGCGGTTACCCCTTGCCACCCAGGGGCCACCAGCAGGCCACCCCGTTCCTCACTGGCCCGTGGCTTCCCTTCCTAATCCCTCTGCTGCTTGTCCCCCAGGAGTCAGAGAAGCTGGAGAGTGTGAATGCCGAACTGAAGGCCCAAATTGAGGAGCTCAAGAATGAGAAGCAGCATTTGATATACATGCTCAACCTGCACCGGCCCACATGCATTGTCCGGGCTCAGAACGGGAGGACTCCAGAAGATGAGAGAAACCTTTTTATCCAACAGATAAAAGAGGGAACATTGCAGAGCTAAGCAGACGTGGTATGGGGCAACTGCGGAGTCCTCATCGAATCCTCCTTTTACATCCGAAACCCTGAAGCCATTGGAGATCTGACTTCCTGTGCACCTCTTGAATCCCAGCAGCAAAGAACCATCAAGGTGGGAGGGCCCTCGGTGACTTTCCACTCTACCCCAGAGTGGACTTTGGACCAGGGCAACAAGGGCATCTTTTTCCTCAACTCCAGAATTTAGGCCTTAACATCTTGGCCTTCCTTGGATTCTCCAGATGGCCCCTGGTTAGGGTCCTGCCTGCCTTTCTTCTGGATGCTGCAAAAACCAGGCCTCCCACCATTAGGATTCATGCAGAAGCATCATCTGTACCTTGGGTGGGTGGGGTGGGGCCACCTCCTCTGCTGCCGCTGCCACTGTCACTTGTAGGGGACGTGGAGTGAGAATGGCATTTTGTGAAGCTGTGCGATGGCTAGGGTTGTGCTTTCTAGCAAATATGCTGTTCCGCACAGGAATTACCGCGTGCAAGGCGTTCGTTTCAAAACTAGGCGTTGTGCTCTTCTGACGTGTGCGCCACACGCCACCACTGTGACTTTCTCATGACTTTCCTCGGATCTGGTTTCTGAGAATTTGCGGGGGCGGGGGGGTGGTGGTGTGTCTATCATATCAGCACATGCAGTGTCTTGCAAAGTATTCAGGTGGCCAGAAGAGGTTGTCAGCCCCGGGAGAACAGAATTGTGCCAGCCTGGACTGACTGCAGTTTTGTGCCAACAGAAAAGGCCTCTTCCCCTTGGCACCCAAGCATTAACGCACGTCCTCTGTTGCAAACTCAGTTATAATGTCACAGGAAGAAAGCAGAAACAGAGTCCAGCTTCCGAAGGGTTAGGATTCTCTGCTCAGTGACTTAGGTCAGGAATTTTTTCTAGGCCGGAAGAGCCAAAGAATATTCCATTTTCCTTTTCTTGTGGTTGAAAACCACAATCAGTGGAGATGCATTTGAAGCCAGGTGATGCCTAGGCTTTAGCATTATTAGACGTTAATGGCATTGTTTCTGTCATGCAGATGTTTGTAGAAATTGGGCCCAGAGCATTTATAGCTGTGAGACAGTCACTCACGCTGGCCACGAGGACTCTGGCTACTGTCTGTTTAAATTCTGATGTTTCTGTGAAATCCTCAGAGTGTTTAATCCTACTCAGTAGTATCATTACAATTTTCTGTAAAAGAAGATATTACTTATTTATCCTAGTATTCCTAACCTGTCAATAGAATAAATATTGGAACCAAGACATGGTGAACTTAAGTGTTGTGCTGGTTTGTGTTCTTTTAAATTGGTTGTTTGTTGAGATCTAACCATTCCCCTCCCCTCTTCTTTGGAGATGGTGGTGTAGGGGGTGGTCTCGGCTTTAAATATTCTGCAGGTGTTGTTCTTTGTTCTCTGGGGTGCCACTAGGTGAGATTTTTGACTTTCAATCCTGTTCCTCAGTCTGTGGTTTCTGATGCTCAATTTCTCATTGACAAACCCTAGGACACAACAGCAAGCATACCCTTTAGATTGTTTGGTATTAAGATAGAATTTTGGGGGCTTCCCTGGTGGCGCAGTGGTTAAGAATCCGCCTGCCAACGCAGGGGACACGGGTTCGAGCCCTGGTCCGGGAAGATCCCACATGCCATGGAGCAACTAAGCCCGTGCGCCACAACTACTGAGCCCGCGTGCCACAACTACTGAAGCCTGTGTGCCTAGAGCCCGTGCTCCGCAACAAGAGAAGCCACTGCAATGAGAAGCCTGTGCACCACAATGAAGAGTAGCCCCCGCTCGCCGCAACTAGAGAAAGCCTGTGCAGAGCAACAAAGACCCAACACAGCCAAAAATAAAATAAAATAAATTTATTTTAAAAGGATAGAATTTTTTTTTTTGCGGTACGCGGGCCTCTCACTGCTGTGGCCTCTCCCATTGTGGAGCACAGGCTCCGGATGTGCAGGCTCAGCGGCCATGGCTCACAGGCCCAGCCGCTCTGCGGCATGTGGGATCTTCCCGGACCAGGGCATGAACCCGCGTCCCCTGCATCAGCAGGCAGACTCTCAACCACTGCGCCACCAGGGAAGCCCAAAAGATAGAATGTTGATATAAAATCTGAATACCTCAACTACCAGTTTCTCTGAATACACAAAAGCCTAAAATGTATACCTGTTGCTCAACTTGAACCTTACAATCTGTCACAGAACTCCTCGTGTTCACTTGAATTACATCTCTTATAAGGTCCAAGTTTGTGTCTCATTGTTGCAAACAGGTATTTCAAATTTGGAAAAGAATGGCAGTGAGGATGGGGAGGAAGAGAGAGTATAACTTTAGACAGGATAGGTGTGATAATTCAAAGAAAACAGTCCACCTAATTTTCTGGAATCTCCAGAGCATATTATTCCTTAGGTCTGGAACAGAACCAGGGTCCCTTGCTCTTTCCCTGTGCACATATGTAACACTCACAGGCTGGGAATAAAAACTGGCTACTCTGCCACCAATGCCATTTTTCAGAGACATCCTCGCTTCCTTGAATGTTCATGCACATGAAGCATGCCTGCTCCTTTGAACTCATGTATAGTTCCTTTAAACTATCACCTGTGACACAGGCATCCTAATTTTGCTGCTTTAACTACATATCAGGGGCAGTTCCTAAACTGCACAGAGCATCTGGGGGAAGTACCATTTACCACTTCTTTCAGGAGATAATCTATCTTCCTTGTCCTGGTGGAGGGGGATGAATTTCCTTGCATTTACCTTCTGGATGAGCCACCAATCAGCCGTTATGAAACTTAAGACAGTTTTAAAGCTGCCATGGACAACAATGAATTAGAGAGGAAGGAAGGGGGAAGTGGCAATGGCAAGAAACATTGATCTGAGAAACGCATGTAAATCATCAGTGGAACTGTAAGTTCTCTTAACAAATGCATTAAAAATAGTTTTCTTTTCTGTAACCAAGTTTATGTTTCCATACTTTAAAAAGAAAGGATTAATAAGTATTTACCATCAATTTGCTTAGTTCATCTACTTTCACGTTCGACAGAGAGGGAAACTGGGGCTCTGAAAGAATAAACTTGGATGGGATCTCTGCCAGAGTCAGACACCTAGTTTGACAAGGTCTTTTCCTTGGGCCACCACCTGCTGGGGTTGTGATGTCACAGTGGCAGGGCATGGACAGCCCACCCTCCCTCCTATCTCCCGCCCTCATCCTGTCCCCTGGCCTTTCCCTGAGATCTGGCCTGACACCT